TTTTAAGAATAGCAAATGTTCTTTGTATTAGCAACATTGTTTGTTCAACAATGTTGATTGTATGAACAAACTGAACAAGACATCCTGTAAATAGTGGATTACACTTACGTGTTGCCTTCCTCAATATAAATTTTCTGGAAAAGCACAAAAAAATGTAGACTTAATTTCTAAATCCGAAATTAAAATTCTATATTTCCAATTCTCTTCTTCAACTTAGCTTTTTTCTATCCTTCTTAGACACCGTGTACATCAAAATGTATATAATATGTGAAGTAATTGAGCTTCAGACTATATTACAAAATTGACAACATACTTGTTTGGGCCTGAAGTATATTTAGTACATTTTAATGTATATTGGGCATATAGCACTTTTCCCATTGTAATTTGTGAGTCTTAGGAGGGGACACAATAAGAAAGCGTATCCATAACACAGACTAAATTGAATATAACCCAATTAACTTTAGATTATATTTTTCGAAAAAAAAAATCCTTATGAATCGAATATCGTTAAGTATAAATAGAGACCACAGACCACAGTGATAGAGACGTTGTTCACTATGAAGAATATTGGGTAAATAGCATGGATAGCATAATTTAATAAGACTATGGAAAATCCATACAAACGGAACCTAGCAGCGCGGCTTGTGCACGCCGTCGTCAGTCACGCGCCGTGTACGGAAGCATGATATAGAAAGGCGCGTGTGACTACCAGCGTATGCAACGCGAATTCATCTCGAGATACGAGTGTGTGGCTGCATTATTAATACTTTTGTTTGTACTTTTTCCTTTCGTCACCTGACGGTATTTGCTACTTAGTAACACAGTTAATTGTTACGCGTTGTTTCTTTTTGTTTATTTATTTTGCAGTAATTGCTGTATTACGTAATGGTTAATTATTAAGGTGCTCCTTGAAAACGTTTAAAAAACATTGTTAAAAGGGTCTGTGTTAAAACACTCTCAGCAACGTCGTGGGTCACAGGTGACCGTTGCCGAAACTCATTATTATTCATTGCGCTTACTACACACTCGTTTCGTTGAGAAATTTCCAGTCTTTTTTCTAAACTATGAAGGATATGTTAAGGTGGTTCTATATGTTTCTTCATGGTGAAGTAAATATGATGAATGGTTTAACCTTCGACAGGACAGCGCTTAAACTTAAATGGCTTCTTTGACCGTTTTTTAAATGCATATTTTCTGATTTATTTGTAATTTAACAAATTATTCCTACTTTATTGATTAATTGCATCAACACAGGTATATAATTAAAAATAAATAATATTTTGTAAACGGAAAAATGGAAAAGGAAATGTCAGATCAGAATCAGCACATGTTAATTAGAATAAGTAAGTGCTGTAATATCAGAGACAGGGCTGAAATTAAAAGCTGTATATCATGTAATTGTATATATGTATTGTATGTTAAAGATCCGGATGGTAGCTGAAACTTTGTAACTATTTTTTCTTTGTTGATCCAATAAACATAACATCACATTGTTTTATCCATTATACATGATGATTGACAAATACTTATATGTTAGTTATGTAGTTATGCCTGTTACATCTTTGAGATTTGTAAATTTGTTCGTAATAATCAATAATATTTCTTTCAAAGCCATCAAGAAATCGCATCAAAATATGCATTATCGACACAAAAATAAACTACTTCTACCTAGATCTAGATTCACTCTACATTCGTCTAGCCCTATACGTCGTGTTCACGAATATTTGTAACAAATTGTCTGATCTACATATATGATCCAATATTTAAAAAAAGAATATTTATTCGTAGACAAATGTTATATAATATTCTAACCAAAAGGAACGGTTGAAATATATATAGTACTCTTACTGTCTTCTATTCTACTTTGTTGAGCCCGAAAAGCTTCATGATGTGATTCTTTTACTATGTAACACCTTGTACCTACATCATCGTGGAATAAAGAATATTGAATGTGAATATGTATATAGTTGATAATATATAAAGTTGCATAATTTAATAGTAAAATGTTCATAAGTCTTGCGAGATACGAGAATGATTTTTGTGGTTTGATTAACAAACAAGTTTGTGAAAGTTGTCAATTATCAGTTGTCGGCTGTTAGTTGCGTATTTATTGTCGCATGGTTTGAATCCCTTACAAATATATACTATGTGACATGGGTGCGACAGGGACCAAAAACAGGTAGTGAACACAATCACAACCGTCGAGTTCCTTGCGTATTTTATTCACTGACACTGGCAATGGTCGCCGTTATTTTTACATTATTCTTATAAAACTGAATAGAATATAATAATTTATTTCATATTATCAATGCCACAATATTGCAATTATTATCATGCTGGTCTAAATACAACGAAGTCAAGTAAAACAAAATTACAATTGTTTCAAAGAAACTCATCGACACTGTAGATAAAAAAAAAGAAGAAAAAGAATTCATTATCCAATAAAAGGAGTTTTAATCGGGTATTAAACGTTTCGTTGTTTGTAACACTTTTCGGGTATGTGGGTAGATGTTCGTAGAATCGGGGACCTATCACCCGCGAAATTCTCGTTGCGAGTTCGGTCTGACACTGACACAAGCTTAGTGGCCGCTTTAAAGGAAATAATAATAATAAGAATGTACGTCGCACCGAAGCACCATACGTAACACCCAATCAACGAAGATCGACAATCCGATTGCGTTCTAATCAAAATTTCCATAATCATTCTTATACTTAACACGTAGTTAAATAACAACCGCTTTCATTGCAACTGTGAATCAAAATAATTTAATTTAGTGGCAATGAAATCAATTTCGATTAAACGTTTCATTTTTAAAGTAAATCTAGACCACCTCCTTGGCCTAGAAGCATGGTTTCGGTTTATTGCGAATATAATTGTAAAGAAAAAGTAAATTATGCTCTAGTTAGTCATTCGCTTAGACCAAAACAATGGTGATCTAAACTTTGACCTTTTGAAGATCGTGCCGACCGTTTAAGCGACCTGCAAGTTTTTAATTTTTAGTATTACGAATGTACTCGTAGTATGACAGTTAAACCAAATATAATACACGTATAATTTGGTTTAACTGTTAAAGACTATTAAAGATTACCGCATTATAAATTGGCAAGGGCCAAGAAGAGGGAAACTGAATCGTGGCGACCTTGACCGTGTAGTTAGCGGTCCAGCTGCAAGCTATCTTATGGTTGTTGACTCGCGCCGTTTTACCTGTCATGGAATTTATACCGCAATCGACTGTCGGGACATCAAATTGATGTGACTGCGACCGAAAAATCAATAAAGATGGAATTGGTTTGCCACCATTTAAAGAATAATCATGATAATCGTAATAAGAAATCTACCAATCGAGAACGGATTTAAAACCTACGAGGCATGACTTTACCTAACTAACCCTTTGTATGGCTCTATAACGTTATTTAACGAAATCAGAAGTGCCCTGCGGTGCAAAAAAATTTAGGTCGTGAGCGTCGGCTCGAAGAAATGTTATAAATTGACTTACGAACAACTCGAAACATCGAAATCAAAACCATGGTCGGTCGGCAGCACGTGAGAATCTAACCTAACCTAACCATTATGCGTCAATTATATACGACGCTAATACATTCTTAGTCCAAAGTCAAACTTGAGAAAACGTACGCGATTTCCAAGCTTCGTAACAAACATAATAGTATAGGAAATGAAACTTTTTTTTCGGATCTAATATTATATTTGTTTTTTCGAACAAACCAACGTTTCGGGTTCTTGGTTTAGTCCTAAGCTGACTGAGATGGTAAAGTCATCAACCAATTAAGTCTAATATTAATGCGAATCACCTTATTTTTTAGAATTGTTACAAAAGTTATTAATTAAATACTTCTCAGTCAGTCGTGTCATGCAAAGGGCCCGAAAGGTTGGTTTGTTTGAAAAAACAACTATACGCGATTTTTGTCCGAAAAATTGTTTAATTTCCCATGTGTAACAATCGCGAAAACCTAAAATCTTGAAACATAATTATATGTTTCTATTTTCAATATTCTTGTTTAGATTTTCTAAAGTCGTTGCAAATGCAGTGATAAACTGTTGAAGACACACCATTCATCCGATCAAATACCTTTACAATTTAAGTTGCTGGTAATTACCATAGTGGGTAAAGAAACTTAAGCAAGATAATATATAGAATGTCGCCAAATAGCACAACACAGGGATTGTTTCGCATAGCGAGAGGATGTATTGGATGAATTTCGCAAATGCTGGGTTATATTTTGTATATATAACCTTAATTTATATCATCGACTTTAATCGGTCCTGTTAAAGTGTTAATTACAATTTCATAAAATTATATTTTCCTCAGCGTGTATAAATGACCTTGTACTTGGGTACTTTAGTCTCATCTTCGAGTGACGTCAGAATTGTGACAATAATGGACGAACGAAGATATTGCATTGTAATAAGATGTTTTTCATATCGGCTATCAAGCATGCGTGTCGTGATCAAGCGTGGATAGCACGCGTGATGTTTTGTATTATTTTCAGAGAAAATTTTAAGAAACTGGTCTAATGAACTATCACCTCGAGTTTCAATGTTATTGAAATCGTTTTCTATCAGTCAATACTTGTATAGCAAGTGACGAAACCCGCCCAATGTCGAATGCCGAGGTTGCGTTGAGGTGTAGCAACGAACGCGAATTGCATTCGATTTAGTTTTACGGGTAATTAGTATTTGATATGCCACTAATACTTAAAAAATTATCACGAAACATTCAAAACATATTATTATAAACAAATGGGTAGAGTTGTCGCAACATTAATTGTGTCTAACTGAAATCTTCACAGACTTACTTTCTTCCTTGAATGACGCGTGGAATCCACATATCTTGGAAGATGGGTCACTGTGTCTGTTTTGGAAGCGCTCGCGCTTCACTTTCGATCTTTCATAACAGGCGGCGATGCGGAAACGACGCTTATGCAAGCGCACGCGCCGGTGTGTGTATGTCTGTTGAGGTGAGTGTGTGCGGGTACGTTACCGAGCTGGTGCTTGACGGGCGGCGGGCGGCATAGGCCGGTGACTGAAGTGGACACTCACGGAAGGCTGTACGGGCTGAAGCTAGGTGTAGCCGTAGACACGAGCGAACGGACCGAGCGCGCGCGATCGAGTGCCACCATGCGCTTGCGCCTATGCAGCGTGTACCGAGTAGCCACCGCCACCACCCTTCTCCCCGAGCCCCGCGGCAACACCGTCGAGCCTCTCACTCCCTTCAGCGGTCGAAGTCTCCCTATTACCACGAAATTAGGATTTTCCTTCTTTTGTATTACTTTAGCTTTAAGATTGCGGTCAAACTTTGCAACTGTCTCACGACAGACAATGATTAATGCTTATGCTGTACAAATAAAAGTTAAATGACGATAATTCTATGACTCATTAACTGAATATGAAACTACAAATTCTGACAATGTTTATGTATACTTCAGCTAAATAATTAATAAATCTATGAACTGAAATAATAATACGTAATATCTGTACGTAAAAGTAACTTGCCTAAGACGCCTACAATTGTTTTATTACTATCGTAGAACACTTATTAAGTATTTAGTACAAGACAATTATGTATTCAACGAATGTTCTGAAATGGAAATAAATTTTGTTACCTTTTAAAAAAAGTTTAATTTTCAAGGACATTACTTTTAATGAAAGCAAGTTTAATTTTGTGAGCAAGCACAAACTGGGTAAAGCTGTATTTCGTTATTTATTATTGAAGATTATATATACCGTTGTTAACAATTTTCTCTTTATATATACAATGCAAATGTGTCAATAAATAACTCTTTGTAGACCTACAACTAAATATGTGTAATTACCGCTTACTTGTAAACATTCCATAGTTTTGAAGGAATCTAGATAGCAGTAAAGTAAATTTGAACTTTTTTTTTATATAATATCAAGTGACGGAACGAACAAGTCGTGCGCTTGGTGGTAAGTTACACTATCCAACCTATCCATAACAGGTGCAGTGCCACTCAGAGCTTTAAATCGCGAAGATCTGGTGGTTGTTGGTTTAGTGTTTTGGTAATTTTTGTTATGATACCTACGTTACTTATGCATAGTATTTTTTTATCACCTGTTAATAGATTTTAAGTGGAATAAAGTGACAAATTAAAAATATTTCATTGCTAAATTAATTTCATACACTTACGCATGGAAGCTAATGATGCCATAGACAGTTGCCAATTACAATACATGGTGTTTAACGACCTTCGTGCTCGGTCGACATGCCCTTTTTGCCCGGGTCCATGTGACATTACACGATTGTCAGTGTGGCTTACACGGGTATGGTACAGACACTGGAGCGGAATATCACGTGAGTTGATGAATATATATATCCCGTCCTACACACATAAGATCAGCATAACAGCTAGTAAGTGAAAATATGCTGAATCCCGTTGTTCTTAGTACAGGGAATTCCCTAGGTGGAGACCAGTTTGTAGAATAGACTATACTTCACTATACGATTCAACAGTTGGAAATTACGTGAACTTTGAGTTTTACATGAGACTTTTCTCGTTTTTAGAATTTTGATGGTATCGATGACGGAACGAACCAACAACGTAAGCATAGAGTAGGAGAAGGGAATTCGAGATTAATTCAAAATTAAAAAAAAGTGGTCAGGAACCAACCAGTAAAGAGGGTGATAAAAAGTTGGGATGACGATGAAGGTGGACAGCATCGTTACAAGTTTAACGTTGGTGTGGCCTTTTGACACATTATTATTATATTAATTTCCGCCAACGGGACAATACAGCGAGCGGCTAGAGGTACGTTTGGGAGCCAATATTAGTTACACCCTTAAAATCTACTTTTTTTAAATAATAATACCAAGTGACAGGACGGACAAGTCGTGCGCCTGATGGTAAGCGATTCGCCTATCCATAACAGTTACAGTGCCGCTCAGAGCTTTAAATCGCAAAGATCTGAGAGGTACTGCTACTGCGCCCGTCATCCTGAGACATAAGTTGACACTTCCCACGTGCCTGTAATTTCACCAGTACCCTTCCAAACCGGAACACAGTAATGCTCACATTGCTCCGTGGCGGCAGAAATAGTTAAGGTGGGAGTACTTCCCTGGACGAACTGTTTCGCAAGTAGCTCTATTGCTACTAAAGCCTACCTATTTTATAGCACTCTTAATGTGGTAGGTTACCGACTATTTTCAGTGAGTAGGTAAGTTAGCCAAACCCATTAATCAAATATATTGTAGGGTTTAACCTAAAAAAGTACAAAGAAGTAGTAAGTAACACGTAACGATAGTATTGTTAAATTAAGCAATCATAATTGTGTACAATTATAGTCATTGGCCATGGGTGACCGAGGTGAGATTATGGTAATTTCTGGTGTCAAAGGTAGCGCGTGAGGCAATAGATGAACGTGTCACCTACCACTGATGTTGTCAGTTTCTTTTTGAATAGCTCAGCAATCGAATATTTTACCGATATTTCATTAAATGTCATTTTATAGTTTAACATAGTATATGTCGCACTGACATTACAATAGTGTTGTAACTCAAATTATGTGAAATTTAAGATTATATGAATAGTATTAGTATAATCTTGAATTAAATTTGTTTCATTGTTTTGTTTTCATGTTTATTTTTTTTTCATTGTTCCTTACAATTTTCTAACGACGGTTTTATTGACGTATAGTGAATCAAATTATGTACATATTGGTCTATACATGGCTAAGTAAGTATTCTTGTATAAATGACTGTGGTGGATAGTACTACCAATGCATAGGTAAACAGTTGATAAAGGGCACGTAAAGTTTTAATTAGGAAGGCTTTTTCTTTGTCAAGCTAAAGAAATGTAAGCGTGTGCTATTGTCCAATCTTCGGGAATCCTCATGTTGTCGATTCGATTCGATCGAAGGACCTCTTTGCCTCATCTATCACTGCAGTAGAGACAACTAGTCTATAATTAATGTTGTCTCGAAACGATTCGATCTCCAAAAGTCTGATGTTTGTCGTTTCATTGGTTCTTTTTATATTAATCGTTCAGTAAGTAACGCGGTGAGCGTTAGTTACTCTAACACCTTGGCTTAGATTTACTTAGTGGAATTGAACAAAAAATGGAACGATATGGATTTCAGTAACATACAATCGTTGGATTCAATAGTAATTAATTTTAATGTCTTTATCAAATGAAAGCAGAATTTTTACGATGAATATGCAATAACCTTCTGAAATAGAATCACTAGAGAGGTAATCACGTTCATTGGCGACTTTGTAAAAAGATTAACTACAAAATAATATTTAGTTATAATAAAATTGCAATATCATCCTGATACTTGTGTTATAAATTGCTTACATAATTAGGATATAATACGTTGCAAAATTTTTGAAACCACACTGTAGAGAGGTGCTCAGACGTAGACGGTTCAGGTGGTTGCTTCCTTTTACTCGCATAGTTTGTGATATAATAATAACTGGGGATATTCCATTACACATTTCTCGAGCAACCTCATTGCAATTCAAGTCAATCTGTTAAATGTATGGAGGTTAGATTTCCGATACGGAGTTATGAAACTAAACCACAAGAAAAAAAGACAATTTACCAAGAACCCTCGCAAGACAGATAGCAAATTACATTCATAGTTACTCAAAAACATGTTAAGAGAGTGGCCAGTGCGGATGAAAGTTAAGAATTAAGAATGTCGAATCAATACGTCAGTTGTCTTATTGTTATAGTTCTTGCATAAACGAAATATAATGTTATCTCTTTAGACACAAAGCCGCAAATAATCAACGGTCGCTGTGGTCGTAGTGGTCACACAAGAGCAACTTCTATGTGCATGTGAGATGTAGAAACAAATTACGTACAGAAATAGCTACCAACATTTGTGTACTCATTATATATGACTCATTATAATCTATCACGGAAATACCGATAAACAAACAAGAGAGAAACAATTACAATAATTTTCTGACCAAGGGTGTGATGGAACTGTAAGAGCAAACTTAGGTTAAAATTTGCTGAAGTTTTCGTACTTTTATTAATGATAACCGGGCACTCATTTCCTAAAATCTACGTAGAAATATTTCATAAAGTATTTTATGATGAGTATCGCAAATTCTTGATTTTTTCGCAGTGATATATTATAATATCAAGGTTCTTATATTCGTTTACGAATCTTTTACAAACGATAGAATACTATCCGGTACCGATATGATCATCAAGAAAAAATATCAGACGCCCTCGCATGCGCCTTAGAATATCAAAACTATATTATATTGTAATCAAAAAAGTTTTATTTTATTTACACATCTGTTTATAGGCGTTAAGTAATGTGGGCCACCATTTTTCCATTTTACCATTTGTTTTTGTGACTCTGTGGTCATTGGAAAATAACTTCGAAAAACGCTGCTATTGTAGATTATTACATGTATATTATATTTTTAGTTATCTTTTTGTTTCAGTTTGGTGATTATAGTTTAAAATTGGATATAACAATTTAGTCAGCCCTCGAAAAACCGCAACTTTTACGAATTGGTTCCGCGTTTTTTCAATACACATCTCTTTGATATATTATACTTATTTTGTTTTATGTCTGAATTTGTATTAAGAAGTGTGTAATTTTAGTTAAGTAGTTTTTTCCAATCTAAATCATGTTTATTTGTTATTTCAAACATACCAACGTTTAGGCTCTTTGCATGTTCCATAGTCACGGCTGACTGGAATGGTAAAGTCATCAATCAGTTACGTTTAACATTAATGCATACTACCCTATTCTCAGCTATAGGCAGTTACAAAACGTTTATACCTTATTTTCTGGGATATAGTAACTTATATTTGTAATACTAAGTTTGTTGAATGTCACAATGATTTACAATCATGATGTTCATTTATAAAAACGTCGTTAAAACCAAAAACAAAGATCTGCAACAAGCACATAGACAAACACCTACTTCGTTCCATAGGGCAATTAAGAGAGCGTCAGCCACGGTATGCTGAAGGGGCTGGTTCGTATCCAGCCGGATCAAAGGAATTTTTCTAGGTGAAAGATCGAATCCTTATATCAAACAAACCAGTTTCTTTACAGCTCTCATGGTACTGCTGACAGACAATAGATGGTAAAGTCATCAGT